TCCATTTTTTATTGAATTTTGATCCCCTTCATTTGTAGACGATGACTTTGCCTCCTAGAAAAAAAAAATATTAAAATTTCTATTTATTTAAATAAAAATTTTTTATTAAAACAAATCACCTTAATACAAGCACATAAATATTTCATGACTGCATTATCTTTATGCGTATTACAGTAGTTCATTCACAAATAAAATAAAACTTTTATAATTGACAAGCATGAGTCATTTTGAATAGAAGTCATTTTTCTTCTTTTCAATTGATTTCTATATCTCGAGCAACATAAACTTTCAGACAAGGCCCATAGCAAACACATTGAAAATGCAACAGATGATTAATTACAACAAAAATAATCTATTTTTGTCAACTATCGAGCAGAACATTAAAAAAACGACGAACGGAAGAAATAGGATTCATGGTCGTATTCTCTAGCTTATATTGATTTGTTTTTTTCTCCTATTCAACTTTCTTTTATTTAATAGTCTTGGTTAGTTTCTTTTTATGTATTTATGAGAAAATGAAAACGTCTAGATTCATACAGTTTACAAGGGACTTCATCAATATATATTTTATCTTTCAATTAGAATTCATATGAAATTCTTGAAACTTCTACACGAATATTAAAAAAATAATACAACAGTGCGGTCCTTACTAGAAAAAAAAACTATACGATATTTGAAATAAATTTCATACTCACTTGATTGTTTTTTTTAAATAAGATATCCATTTATCGAACGTTAACTTTTGTGTTATGCATCAATGTCAGAAAAAAAAAGAAGACGTATACAAGAAAAAAAATCGATCAAGCGAATCGATGTACATGTCTATAATGTAAATTATTACTTGGTTTGATTAACGCAAAAAAGCAAAAAACGGTGTGATAGATAGAGACTGATTTGTAACCAACTGATTGATTGATATCAGGTATTTTTCATAGAAATGCATGGAACACGAATGAGTGACATAATCAGAAAGAACTGAATTTCTTCTAGAAATGCTCAAGCTCTTCTCTCCTTATAAAATTTGAACGTGCTACGACTGTTGTTGTGAACCTCATTTAGAAAAGACTGACGAAGTGTTAGACTCCGTCTAGGTATTTTTTTTTTGTTTACACAATTATCAATGATTCACAACGCAATTTTTTTTTGCAAATTGACAATATTGGTTCGATAAAACATACCTCAAAAATATAGCCAATTATTAATTTACTGTGATATTTATAAAAAAAAAAAAAAAGAATGATTTCCATACAGAAATTTGATATGCATGCATAATGAAAAGATTCAGTGTCCTTTTGGATTCCAAATAACTTACTGTAATAGAAATAACAGATGGTAATGATAAATATTTATTATCATCATTCCATATTGATGATATAGATCGACGATATTTATTAGTTCCAATAATATGTGATTTAACTTGATTAAATAAAGATAAACGATGTGAAAATGAAATTGGTATCTTAGTTGTTAAAGTTTTTTTTATATGACATTTTGGTGAAATTTGTTCTATATTAATATTATTAAATGATCGATGTTTTTCATGAAGTAATGGGATTGATAAACATTCATCTGTTGTATCTATTCGATGTTGACTACAACTTCTACCAATAAGTGCTGCACCTACATGACGTAATAATGAACGAGATCGATTATTATTATTATTACTATTAGTATTATCGTTCAATGTAGATTCAGAATCAGTGCTGTCATCAGACATATTGTATTAAAATAATATCAACTAAAAAAATAATAAAATATAAAAGATAGAAAAGTTTTTGTAAATAAATAGCGGATGCTACATAATCAAATGGTCGTGTTTTATTGTATCTTATGTTTTCATCATCTAATACGTTTTATTAAAAAACGAGATCTACGTAGATTTCGTTTTTTTAATAAAACGTATTAGATAATAAAGATACAAAATGCTGCCATTCATTATGGGGCACCCGTTATTTCTGGAATATATTAATCAGTTGTTATTGATAGGAAATATGGTTTTTAAAATGGTTCCATATTGATGAAACAACAACTGTATTTCTATTGTATTACATAGGTCTCGTGTGGAAAAGTCGATACATTACTACATGACTAAAATAAAAATAAAAACGAACTTGATTTCATTTATTCATTAATTCTTATTGTTTCTATTGAATCTTATGAATTAAATTCTCTTGCACATCAGCATAGACTTTCAATCAATAGATATCACAAAAATAACAAATTTCAGTCAGTAAGCACTTCACTAAAATTCGGTAATCTACGTTTCGGTTAATGCTCATTTCAATAATCGAAGTCATCGTCGATATTCTGAGATAATACCTGTAGTATTAGAAATGTTCCAATATTGTGCTTAGTCATTATACTGATATTCCAAACTTGACAGGCTCTACCAAAGAGAGAATCTCTCCAAGTGTCGAATAGCTTCTTGACCAAGATGATGTTTATTTAATGAGTATTAGTGATTAATATAAAAGTCTAGAATGGTTTGTATTTTCCAAACCTTCGCTCTTCAGATATTGAAATTTTACTGCGTTTTTCAACAGAAAGCAGTGCTGTCCCTTAGGTCACTGAACAATATATGCTTTTACATATGAGAGAATTCTGAATATTGAATATCTCAGGATAGAAGATAGTACAGTAGAAAAGTTACAAGTCGTTCAATTAATTAATCATACTAAGATCTTTGTTTATTCAAACCTTGAAGTCGATTTTTCACGAGACCAGTTTTTTGTGGAAAAATCTAGTTAAATCTTGATATCTTAAGCCCCCCCCCCCCTCCACTCAAAAATCGATCTCAGCCCAGGTACGTTAAAATGGGCTGAAATTTGGAGCATATGTTGGGACTGATTTGGGGAGGCTGTGGTAAAATTTTCAGCTCGATACCGCAATTTTTGACTGAGATATTCACCAAACAAGGGTCGAAAATAGGTCATTTTGGTACAAGGATTTCTCAGTCCGGATCCGTCCAACATATTTAAATCTTTTTTTGTTAGAAAGAGGATGTCAGGATGCACAGCAGTACGGAGTCCTTTTTTTAGATTCTTACTTTTTTAGCGGGGAAAGGAGATCACAAGTCCAATGACTCGAAAAACACGCCAAAAATGGGTGTCCAGTCCCATAAGTGTCTGTATATATAATAAAAAACAAAGCTTAATTAAAAAAAGAACTCCGTAGTGACCTGCATCTCGACGCGTTCTTTCAAACAAAAAAAAATTTAAATATGTTGGACGGATCCGGACTGTGAAATCCTTGTACCAAAATCAAAAAATCATAAATCGAGAAAAAACGAAAAACATTTTTTGATTTTTCAAAAAACAGCTGGTTTTTCGAATAGGGGGTGACGAAAATCTTCGAAAATTTTGGAAAAAAAGGAGGTATCGAGGAAAACTTTTTATCAGCTATGAAAGAGCAGATCACGGGCTATCTTTCCATGTATTTATCTCAAGTTCGAAAATTCCGACGAAAATTGACTTTTTTGAGTGGAGGGGGGGGGGGGGGGGCCTTAAGAATAAAGGCTCGAAAAATCAAATCATTCTAGTCTTTTCTATTGCTCTCTAAACATCATCAACTAAACATTGTCTCCTATTCGAGAATGAGCTGTAGGATTGATTCATCTTTTGAAAATGGTACAACTGTATTTACCTCTTCTGAATCTATTACTATGATCACCAGTATCATGATACTAAACATCCTAATATAAAGAAATATGCATTCGTTGGATGAAACAACGTCATTTTTCTAAACAAGTCTTCGTTCTATTTCTTGTTTATAAAGAAATCATCTCAAACTTTTGCCCTTGAAGAACAATAACATTTTCATTGTTTCTACTTCATAATCAATGCTAAACAATTATTTATAAAACTTAAAATTACCTTTATCAGAGTGAATAACAATAAGAAAATGGTTGTAATAACTATACAGGCCATTGATGCATATATATCATTAATATATATACGAGGAAACTTATATAATAAATGCTATTTAAATATTAATTTTGCTATTGATACTAATAGAAGAATAGTAAGCATTTTTTTTTCTAGTTACTATTTATTCTTATCATTGATGCCTAATAAAAGATGTTACCACATATCCACGATATCGATCAATATTGACTGATTAAAAACAACATTATTGCTTTATCTTTTCTTTAAGGTAAAAAGATGAAGTAATAGTATTATACTATACGAATCAATCGAGAACATCAAATGAAAACGAATTAAGATCAACTCAATTAATAGCGATTATATGTCTATTGAAAATGTTACATTCTTGTTTTAACATATATCTTTAAATGATGATCTTATATCACTGATCTTTTGTTTTTGATTAAATACAACATGTTATGTACTACTCACTTTTTATCATAATTATCATTTATAATGTTTTTTCAAGCTAGAAGAAAAAAATGTCATAGAAATATTATTTATTAGCGTATAAATCAAACTCAATAATTGCTTGATAACATATTGATGCACATAGCATCTCATAGAATCTGTGTTTCTGTTCTATAAAGACGGAAAAAGCAAAAAAAAAAACAACTATCGTATTAGACCATAGAACGAGTTGTTTCTGAGCATATTATGATGATAACTCATTTCTCTTTCTTTATTTTGTGTCATTTTTCTTTTCTATTGCTCCCAGATGATAATAGAAGTGATAATAAGGAAAAGAAAAACAAGCCCAGTATAGAAACATTACTAAAATAAATCTAGAAAATATCATGCTTAGTTAATTTTGATTTATCAGTTAATTGTACACGGATGCATAGAGAAACAAATAAACCAAGCACGAGCTAAATCACAAGTTTTGCATTATGAGAGGCCTTGTTGAAGAGAATCTCTGTAAAAACACATCATTAATTGCAGATAAAAAGAAATCTTTTTGTTTTGTCTTTTTCATAGTTCTCTTTTCTTGAATATTCAATATGAGATGTCTATGACAATGTATAGATACAAATAACAATAACAAAAAGAAAAAACACTATTGAATTGTATTCATAATCAAGTTTCCATTCTTGTTGATCCTGTATCTTGTTTATCACCTAAAAAAAAAAAATTAAATATCATATTTAAATAACAAGCATTTATACATACTACTAAGATCATTGAACATAAAATACTGTTCATATTCTCTAAGATTATCACTTGAACGAGCTTCGTCAAGAAATACTTCATAAACACGTTTAACATCCTCGATTGCTACTTCACGAGCCTAAATAACCAAAAAACAAAACAATTTTTTCTAGAAATTTTCAAATTATTCATACCTTTCGATTTCGACTAATAATACTTGAAAGAGTAATAAGTTGAATAGAATATCGTAAAGATGTTTCTTTTCCAATTTTTGTTAATACATTAAGTGCATCATCAGATATTTCGACATCTTCTTCTTCACATCTAAATATAAATGCCTTTTATTTTTCAATCTTAAATTTCTCAATATACGAAACCTTATTTTAAGAATTTGTTTAATTTCGTCAAGTTCATAAGGTTTTGTCGTAATGATTAATAAACGATCAAGTAAATCAATGGGAATGCCATGTGGACTTTGTTGATTAGTTCCACGTATTCTAAATATTGTTATTTTTATATCCATTTTTTACGAAATAGGAAGGCAAGTAGATAACTGTTGAAAGTAGCATTCTTGCAAAATTTGATTTCTTCTATGTCAAACTATCACACAAGGTAAACGAAAATGAGTTATGCTAGGATTAATCATATCGAACTTATTTCTGTTGTGCACGAGCTAAGTGAATTTGTTTCATGAGTGATCAGATTATTTTCATATGGTTCGATAATACTTTTGAAATATTTCAAAGTGACATAAAAACATTGTTTATACAAAGAAATCCTCATCACACTATTCTTACGATAAGATTTTGAGCCATTTTTTAAATTGTACTCACTAGATTTCAATAAGAAAACTACGATTTCAGTGAAAAATTAATAAGATTTTCTAAATCAACATCACAAAGTGAACGATGAACTATTGTATTTTTCAAATATTTTCATAAAAACTCAGTTTTTATTGTTTAATCATTTGCCATTTGGAGTAGACAACTTGACTCTTACTGTCAAAATGACTATTTGATGAAATTTATTTTTTGACCGAACCTTGAGGAAGACTAGAAGTGACTTGTTCGATGAAAAACAAAGCTCACGAAAATATTTCTCATGAAATGAGTAGATAGAAAAAGTTGATTATCATTAACAGTCAGATTCAATGTAAGACGGAAACATTTTTTTCGAAGCATTCTACCTAATGCATTCTATACTAAGATTTCTAAAAAACTGACCACGATGGTTTTCAGATCCTAGAATAGTAAATTCACTATCTGGATTTGAACTAACTGCTTTACATTATTCGAAGAAAAAAAAAAGGTCAAAGATGAATTTTTTGTTAAACTTTGTTTGCATCACTTTCTATGTGACAGCAATTGACAAATTTAATCGGCTTCTGCTTAGCAAAAATACTTGCTTGCTATACGACTAATTCTATCATGGCTCATTTTTGAATATCTTCGATCAGTTTTTCATGGAATCTTACTTTGTAATTCCTCTATTTGTAGCCATAATTAAAATAGGTGCCATATCACTTTCTAAAGCTCGATTTAAAAATGAAAAACATTCAATATCTAACATATGAACTTCATCAATAAATAAAACTCCAGGTACAATTTCAGCTTTTCCTTCTTCACGCCATTCAGCAACTTTATCATTAATTTGTTCACGTACTTCAGATTTAATTTCACCTGTATCACCAGAAAATAATGCAAGAAAACCTTGTGAACGACTATTAATAANCATTCAATATCTAACATATGAACTTCATCAATAAATAAAACTCCAGGTACAATTTCAGCTTTTCCTTCTTCACGCCATTCAGCAACTTTATCATTAATTTGTTCACGTACTTCAGATTTAATTTCACCTGTATCACCAGAAAATAATGCAAGAAAACCTTGTGAACGACTATTAATAACATCAATTTCATGTAATGTTACTGTATGTACAACTTCTTTACGTTTTTGTAATTCACCTTCTGGACATTGAACAAATTTAGTCTTGCAAAGAAAAGAAAAAATAGTAATGAAATAAATATATTTTGATAAAAATTAATTTACTTGTGGTCCCATAGCATCATAGTCTTTTGCACGAGTAAACGATCGTCCAAGACGTGAGATTTTTCCACTTGCTTTATCAATTGCAATAACATCACTAAACAAAAAAAAAATAATAAAATTTCGATAATAAAATCTTTTATTTTTTTTAAATTTAATTAGAAAATTTTACCCGGCTTGAACTTTTTCTTTAGTTAATGCTTCAATCATTTTTTGACCAAGATCATAAATTGTCTCCATTTCAGTTGTTTTTAATGTCATTTTACCTATTTTTGCACCCTAGAAAATAAATTTCTTCAAACGAAAATATAAAATTTTTATATTATATTTGTACCGTTCCTGTTGCAGGTCGATCAATTTGAATTTCAACAACTTCACCTTCAATAAATTCAGCTTCTTCTCTTAAATATACATAATATGTCTTTTTTTTAAATAAATTAGTTTACTATTTACTTGATTCGAACGCCAATTGAACGTCTAAATGCTTGAGTTAAAGCTTCAGTTTTGCTCATTTCTAATGAAAATATTTCGCTACCAGACATAGCAGTAAATGGTGTATCTGAGCCTAATGCTTGTGCAATTCCTAATCATAGAAAAACATTTAAAATGAATTAAAAAGTAGTGTGAAACTTTCTCGACAAAATGTTTCTTTATTTTTTTTTTTTTGATCGATTACGTCAGTGAGCAGAAAATTTGAAGTATCCGGTTAGAATCAAAACTAATAAGTACGTTCGTAGTTACGAGTGAATTTTTGAAAGGCTCAAAATAGATACATAGAATTCGAAAAAAGTTTATCCTACAGGATTCTAGTAGAACGAAATCTTTAGAGAGCTGACAGCCGAAAGTTTTGCAACAATCCTTCAAAAATAATCGAATGGATCTTTCAAGTCAGAAAATCAAGTAATTTCAAAGACATCAATATATCTCTGACTGTGAGTCTTATCATTGATCGGTTTTTTTAGTGTATTTCTAATCAATATTATTTCTACTTTGAATAGCTTTTTCTCTCAATGAAACTGAACAAAATTTTATTTTTAGACCTTTGAAGGATTCATGCATAAATATCAACCTATGATGAAACATCTTGACCCGAAACTTTTCCATCACTCATTATGTTCACGGAATAAAATTTACCCATAGCAATAGCAGTTTTGCCTGTTCCAGGTTGACCAGCAATAAGTAAAGCTCGTCCAGCAATTTTTCCTTCTTTAATCATTTCAAGAATTAATCCAGCTGCACGACGAGCTTTAAGTTGGCCAACCATACCTTGACTAACAGCACGTGCTTCAAGACTATCATTAAGACCAAGTCCACGGATATGCGAATGTGCACCTAGAAGTATTCAAAACAAATTTTCTTTTTACACAAAAGAATATAAAAGATGATTATTTACCAATTCGTTCTATCCGTGTTATTTCACGAACTTGTTGAACTTGAGTTGTTGATGGCTAATTTAAGAAAAAAAAACAAAGAATAATCATTCATAATTCTACTCAAACAATTTCTTACAGCATCCATGATGAGTGTATTTGAAAGAATGTTATCGCAATGATGAATGTTAAATGAGTGAAGAAAACGTTGCTAGGACAATTCTTTTCTTTGTTTAAAAGTCCAATTTAATGTGATACGTCAGTATACTGATCAATCCAATAATAAACAAATCATAAGCGAGAGATACGATGTCACTAAAAGACAGATCAAGAGAAATTTCTTGAACAATTGATGACACAAGTATGTCTCAATGAACAGCTATTTAAGTAACATTCGTATACTTATTTATTGTAATTGATTTTTTTTTCGAGTGAGCGACAACGAGTTGAGCCATTGAGCATTTCATATATAAAATAACGATTTTTTTTCTAAGATCTATCTTTTATGAGAGTTCTCTCAATTGTTTTTGAGACTGAAAATTCAGCAGAAAGTGTCTTCGTTCATCTCTCTAGCAGAATTCATACAGAAGATACTGACATCATCAACTTTCTGTGATATTTTGTCAGAGACAAAACGTCTTCGTATAAATATGTATCAGAAGTAGAGCTAAAATTGCTATATTGAACTACAATCTTTGGTTTCTGTACGAACAACTTTTTTTTCATAGTTCCAATCTAAAAAATTTCTCGTTTCTCCAATCCCGTACAACTCTAATCACGATTCCCTATGAGACTGTATAAAAGAAATTTTTCGGGGTTATTCAATAGCCACATATAATTTTTAAAGTATTTCTTTTGAGAATCTATGCAATTGACTCAATAGTATAGATATTCAAAGAAAATTAGTTTTATCAATTAGCAATGATCCGTAATAATCATTTTTTTTTCTATTTGTACATTTTCCCAACAAATTCACACATATGGTACTACAATCAATAGCTCCGAGCATCAATATTCAAAAAGATATAGCAAATGGTTTCTTTCCTTTTCTCCTCTTATTTGCGCATTACTTGATTCACTCATTCAACAACATAGATACATAGATTATTTCTTTCTTTTTTTTTATTTTTTCTGGTGCATGCGCGTATTTTTAAGTTTGATTAGTACGCTTGATTACATACATATTTGATAGGCGGGAATCAAGAAAAGAACAATTGCACCTGTTATGTTCATCCAATCGAATATATTTATCTTATGTATACATTATATATTTGTCAAAAGTGCAGAAAAGAAGAGAAAAAAAAAACGAAAACGAATATGTCAAGTTAATCGATGTCACTACCACTGCATCCATTTTTTGATGATGTTGTTGCCATAAACATTGGATAATTTTCTTCATAATTTTTAAGCATTTCATTTAAATATGATTGAAATACATCGACAGCAGCGGCTATAGCTGGTGTACCAAAACCATGTGTTATAAGAGAAAATATTAATAATGATCGTTGTACAGATGGATCAAGAATAGATGGAATTGAAGGTATATGATGATGAGAAATCAACGATGAATTAGATGTATGTCGAGAATTCAAAGACATAGCATTATTTGATGATGCAACATTTACAGGTGATCGATCTTGTTTGAGTAAATCACTGAATTCTTGAACTAATTGTCTAGAATGAGAGAAAAAAAATATATATATTTTTTTTTTTTGGTTCAGAAAATTCATAATAGATGTTTACTTTGCAGCTAAAATCATATTTCGCCGTGTACTAATTTCATTTGGTTCTGAATAATGTCTTGATATATAATTTGCAGTAATTCTAACTGGAAACTCAGCTTCACATATCGTACGAAAATCTATTGCTAATTGATTTGCTTCTCCTAAAATGAATAAATATTTTTCGATAAAATATTATCATCATTTTTGTATAAAGTGAATCTGTTTTTTTTTAACCTTCAACAAGAGAAGTAAATAATGTTGTTGTCGATGTTTTACGACGACCAGCTGGTAGAGTAACACCTATTTTTTCTAATCTATTACGTAGATCTCGACCACCATTCTTTGATTTAGCTCTAAAATATAAGTGTGATAATTTAATCAATATTGAAGCATAGAAAAACCAAAATTAATAACGATGTCTAATATTGTTTTCAACAAGTTATGGATCTAATCGTTTTCGAAATAACTTTTGATAGGAACAATATAGAGATTTGGGATTTTCATCATTTTAGAAAGAAGACCCTAGGTCATCTTCATATGCCAAAATCTCATTGGTTAAAAACTGAACAATTAGTTGGATTCGCTGCGAAGATCTTAAAAATAATATTCTAAAATCATTTCTCATTTTAATTTTGACTTGTAATATGAACAATCGATAGAAAAACATCTTGTCTTTCGATTCATACAAGCCTCAGTCTTCTAGCACGTTCCATTTCAGATCCCCGATTGACAGAAATAATTCGTCATGCTAAGTCGAATGATGACAAGTGACTTAAAACTACATTCTCAAGATTTTTAGAATTTCAATTCTTATGCTGTGTAGATAAAATTTTTGAAATAGCAAAAACACTAAAATAGCGGTCTCAAGTCGCTTGTCACACATTTGGTGCAGTATGATGAATTAGTTCTGTCAGTTGAGGATGCCAGAAAAACTCTTGTAACTCTGAAATGAAACGTGCTAGAAAATTAGAATCAGATGTTGACATACATAGATGATCTAAGATCTTCTCTCTCTTGATCTTGAATGGTGAAAACTCCACGCCTCTATGCTGTTTCTATTAAAATTTATCTAAAAAATAATCAGACTCGCTACTTTTTGAAAACGACAATAATTAAATTGATATCTCGAAAAATCAATGTGCATAGATTTTACCGTCTTAGAACACCACCAAGTAATGATGCATTGAGATTTTCAGGTGAACCAAGACGTCGTTGAATTTCACTTATTGTTACTTTATATTTTGATGATTGACTTAAAAGTGATAATCGACCAGGTACTACGAACACAATTTTTAATATTTTTAATAAAAAAAAAAAAACAACTGAATACGAAGATATTTTTTACCTTGACAAAAGAAATCTGTCGGTGACATAGGTCCATTACCATTTCCAGAACACATTGAAGAAAATGAACTTGAATCGCGGGATCGATTCGAACGTCGACCATCTATAAAGAAAAAAAAGAAAGAAGAACATTTGATATATTAAATTAAATTAAAACAAAAAAACACAATATTTTTAATCGTACCTCTACTTGCTGAAGATCTAAGATAAGATGATTCATCAGTTTGTAAGTCATCTCCACCATTAAGAATCTAAAAAAAAACATGAATTTCATTTTAATAGAAATTAGAATGTTTAATGCACACATAATAAAGCTGTCTATCTATCTTATTATATTTGGTTCAATGCATCACATCAAGACTCTTAAGAATTTCTAACTTACACGAGCTGTATTATCGACAAGCGAAGTTGATGATGTCTGATGATGTTGTGCATGACGAGAATATAATTCTGCTGCTTGTTGATGATGAACATCAAGAATCGACTGATGATGACGTGCGACAGCAGCCGTTGCTACATAAGCAGTTGCATATGGATCATATGATGATGTATTAAATGCATTATTGTTTGTATTTGTATGATGATGATGCATACTTGTTGATGTACTTCCATAAGATGATGATGACGATGATACTGATGAACCATTTACTGTACCATAATTAAATGTTGGATAATGCTCCATAGCACTTGTTGCTGCATGTATTTCAAATTGAGCTGCAAATGTTGGATTAAATGGTGGTGGAAAATAAGGAAATGATGGATCAGTAATAGTCGCTGTGCGAGAACTTGTCGATGTATTAAATGGACCACCACCAACTGATGATGGTGATGATGATGATGTTGGTGATGAACCATATTTTATATCCTGTAAACAATAAGACAAATTCATTAATACAATGAATATGATATATATTGAGAAAAAAATTAGAACAGGCTACTAGTTAATTTAATGAATTGTTTGCAAAAGAAAATAATCAATGTCTATATTTTTACAATACACAAATGAACAAACAAAGAAATTTTCTTTCTTTAACTTGCTCCGCCTAAAGGCTGTTTGATAGTGTAAGAAAATAGTAAAAAAAAAAACTTACATCGGTCTGCACACCACTACCGCTACCACTGCCTGAATCAATTATTAGATCAAATGCAGATGGCATACGACGATGTTGTTGAACTTTTTTTTCTTTTTCGTTCTCAAGATCCTGCGGCAGTTCGATAACTAAGATAATGAGTTGACAACAATAAATACCCGAAGCAAAAAAAAAATGCACAGATGAAGAAAATTATGTCAATGTAGTAAAAGACACAATGAAGAAAAAGAAAAAAAAAGAAATAATGATAATCAACTTTTCTCTAGCTAAAAGAAAAGCTATCAATGTTTATAGGAAAGACAAAATAAATAAATCTATAATGTCAAATATAAATAGATGCATACAAATTCCATTTTTTCAAAACAAAATTTCATATATATATATATGTACGCTGAGCTAAGTGTACTTCTCTTTTCTATATGTTCGTTCTCTGTTTTCGACCAATCATGCCCTCCGGCGTCAAATAAACTTCTACAAACCAATAGGCAAAAATTTTCTTCGTTCTCGGGTATTGACGATTGGGTAAACGATTCCTCTTTTTTTTTCCATTCTGACGCTCGTATATGATTTAACTCGAGCAAACAAGGAAACAAAAGAATAGCTATTACTAATAAACTCATCCCATGATCGAGCAGCGCAATTGGGAGTGAATGTATGAGCGACTCTGTCATTTTCTCTTTTTATTTTTTATCGAAATAATCTACTATTACTTCCATCATTATCGATTCCGGCTATTAGTAGTTACCAATGATAGAGAAAAAAAAAGAAATAACTTGCAACTAAACCAATATCCGGGTTAGCAGCCAGCATCCGCAAATAAACATAAAGTATAATGCCATCGGAAACGTGAAATAGAGAAATCTTTTAAGTGACAACAACATTCATATATATATATAGATATATTGAGAAAAAAGCATCGAAGAGTATCTCAAGTATGATTGTATGCAATAGACAAAAAAAAATATTTCAAAAATTATCAATCGGAATCAGACTTCTCGATTAAGGCAGTAAGGTCTTTCTCCACAGTGTTCGATTTACTGCCAATCTTTTACGGTTTCGTAGTAACTTCAAACAGAAACCGGATTCTGAATAGGGTTAGGAAAGAGACTATTTAGTAGCGGATTGTCTGTTATAAGAGAGACCAAGTCACAACGGATTTCGTTCTTCTTCCCAACAATACGAAAACTCTGACTGGAATATAAAGAAAATACAATTGAATTTTCAAAAATAAAACAGATTTATCTTTGGAATAGTTAGCTGTATCATGTAATGTATCGACATTCGATTATAATTTTATTGATTGTGCTTAACGAAGCTTGACATAATATCACGCTTGGTGACATCTTCACTATTTTTTTTTCTTTTAGTAATATATATAACACATTAAGGGAGATGATTTTCACGCCTAAGATAAACACATTTTTCTTTAGATAGATACTTTTATTGACGAAAAAAAAAAGAAATAGATATTCAGCTATGTCGTTTATCGACTTTCTATCAAAATACCCTCTAGCGTCATAGAATTCAAAGAAAATGTGCTAGATTATTATCTATCTAACAGAGTGCGACGTTTGCAATTGACAAGTTAAATTTAATATGTAAATCTTCTTCATTAATAACACACATTTCTAATGATTATTTTCTTTCTTTTTTTATTCATTTGAAGATAATATATTCATATCAAATGACAGTATATCTTATATTTCATAATGTAAATAAGTCGGGTTGTTTTTTGCATTTCAAAAAATTGAATCAAACTCACCTGATGATATGGCAAAAGAACCATTTTTATTGTTGCTTGTATATGTAAAGAATATTTGTGATATAGCTATACAATACGTTTATAGAAATATAAATGCATTTTTCTTTTTCTCTTTTCATATCAATATGTTCATTGGTCAAGATATTTTTTATTTATATTAATGATTGTTTCTTTCTTTTCTCCTATTGGAAATATATCAAGTTTGTTTACAGTTCATTATCATTAATGATGAGTTGAACGAATTTTTTGTTTTCTTTGAGGAAATACAGCTGTTATATTGATGTTTGAAATTCATCTAAATATAATGCTGGGAAAAGATTATCGATCGTTGCCTCCTTCCGATCAATAAGCGCTCCTTTCACTTGTTGAGTATATCATTGAAACTAGTTGCTACTGGTGTATTTTATATATGCCGACTTTGCTCATACACTTTTTCACATCATAATCATTGTCGTCGAGAATAAGTGGCTCTTTCTCGTCTCTTTTTTTTTTGTTTGATAATGTAATCTCATATTTGATATTAAAAAGAAAAGATCGAACCACTTCATGGCGACACTACAAATTGCTTCTTGTTCTTTTTTTTAATTGAATAGATTTATTGTCAAAGAAAGAGAAAAAAAAGAACCTATGGACTTCATGGTTGATTGAAAACATAAAAATCAATCGTCTCTCATATATACATATAATGATGTGTGAAATGTAATCATCGATAGTGAGGAATATATTATTGTTATTTAAAGACAAAACACCTTATACACACTATCTAAACAAGAGCTCGTGTCTGAGAGAGAGAGAGAAAGAAAAAAAGTATAATATTTTATATCAACAATCAATACTAAATGATTTTTTTTCGAAAAATAATCACACATATACACATTCGATTAGCTATGCTCCACCTACAGTTATTGGCGTCAGTCGAAAGCTTTTAGAAATGGATTTGAAAAAAAAAACAAAACAAAAACATATAACGATGGCATATTTTGCCAATTTAGCACAAAAGAAACATTCTTTATACGAGAGGTAATTAGAGAGATACATACACATAGTATTTATCCTGCTGTGCACATGCCAGCTCACATTCTCTTTTACTTTTGATCCTAAAGAAATGTGACATCATATATATGATTATGTCGTTTTGCCTTTTAATCAGATCAAATTGGTCGTATATTGACTTTTCGATCAACAAGTATCTTGCTGGGATATATCAATGCCGCGCATACTATCATTCTTTTGATAATACATACATATATATATATATATATATCTGTATAATGAGTTTTTCTCAAGTATTTTGACTCTTGTATTACACAAGAAAACATAGAAAAGAAACAATCCCTTGATGGTTAATTGACAATCGAAGATACTATCATACTGAAAAAATCTAAATAGAAATAGACCGAACTTGTTTTATCAGATCGAATAAAATAATCGACTGGATGCATTGTCTGACCTCACGCCAGATATTATTTTATATTGCCGATGATACGAGTTAATTCAAGCATGAAATTGCACATGTGTATGTATGTGTGTGTGATTATACAGCAAAAAAGATACAAGAAGATGAAACCTATAATAGCTTATATTAGATGTTAATATATGGACGAATGAATATCTTTTTATGATGGTTCAATTTTATATGTTTAATCTTTATTCAATATTTTATAAGGAAAAAATTTGTTCATCATGGAAGTAGATCGATGTCGCTTAGAAGATATAGACATCTGGAACACTTCATAGGCTTCCTTTCTTCTTCTTCTGTGTGATATGAACGAAACAAATTATTCTATGAAAGCGTATGTGAAATAATAAACAATCATTTGTTTTATTATTCATATTCAATTGCACAATATGCTTTTTTGAGTTCATCTATTTACAGAGATCGCAGCGGCATATATCTCAAAATCAAGAATTGTAAAATTTTGTTCGGATTTTTCTTTTCAGAATTAAATCTGTATAAAAGTTGATGAAACTATCATGGCTAGTTAAAATTAAACTGTACGATGTCTCCATAAAAGTCAAAGTTGATTAAGAGAGAATTAATTGTGCAGTAACGAAATTTTTTCTTCAAATCTCTACTTTTAATTCTGTTTATTTATTCTTGTTCTCTCTCTTTCTTATTATGTAATAGACATTTATTTTTTAAAATGTTCTCCTTCAATTAGGCATTTTTAAATACTGGACAGCGCAATTTATTGTTCAAAATGAGGGCATGGTAAATTCCAGTTTCCAAGAAATTGAAGTTTCTCCATTATATAGTAAATGATAGAAGCTAAAGAATACTGCTACAAAAGTCTACGTTAAATATCAACAATACATAGTGGAAATCCATTTTTACACATACGATTGCAGGAATACAATTCCTACTTTGGAATTCACGTGAATTTTATAAACCCAGTGCAAGTATAAACTATACACATCATTTTTACATTCTTTTTGTAATAAAATAAATTTTTTGCTCTTATTTCTCGAAACATAGAACCAAATTTCGATGAAGTTTTTCTTATAATCATGTCCTTTGAGTTTTCTAGAAATAGTACTTCATCATAAATACTTCCAGCATTGCTTGTTATTACAATTCTCATTACTTGAAATAATTTATTTGACGTATCTTCTTATTTACTGTCTTGATTTTGTTGTACGAGTTCTACGTGTTAATTCATGCAAATGATTCAATATAAGGATTAGATATAGTAATACTATGTGTAAATTTTAGTGCTCATTCAAGTACTTGTTTTTTGACTTGTGATACGAAGTACAAGTTCATGAGGACAATTTTTATTTTCAGATAAAAAATAAACAGTAATATCAATATCTTCTTTAGTAAGAGTCACTTTAAATATATCTGTATACATTTAATACAATTTTCATCATTCTCCTATTTGATGTTATCGAGCCATATACTATCGAAACTTTCGAAAATTTAAAAAAATATTCTCAACAATTAAAGAAGCATGTGATACATTAGTTGACAACAGACTGAATTTACTTATATTCATGTAAAAATTCATGAAATAGCTCGTAATATCTCAATATGATCAATCTACAGTGGACGCCAAAAGTCTCGCGTCACTTTTTTGTTTTGATTGGCATTTCCAAAATACAAGACATATTTTCAATTTTATTTTTATCTTCGGATAGCGGAGCTCGAGTACCATATGTATGTATATGTTTGAAATGAATAATCATTGAATCTGAAATACAAGAAAAAAAACTTCAGTACTACGACAAAAACTACATAAAAAAAGACAAGCTAATATGACTCTTATGATTTTGAATAAGATGTCAGCAATACGAAAGTCGAATAAGATTTTGTTTAATATTTTTACGTGAGCCGATAGATGTGGACGAGCTCTATAAAACTATCTATATTAAAATTTTGGAGAGCTCTTTTCTGGCATAAAAAATTACAAGAAAATCGTATTTTGATGCTTTTCTGCTATAAAAAAATTTTTGACTTTTCATATAGAACAAATAAAACATGCGATTATTTTGTAATGTTTTTGTCCTAAAAAAGGGTTCTAAGAAATTTTAATACAGATAGTTTTGAATAGCTCATCGAGATCTATTGACTTATGTAAAAATATCAAACAAAATCTTACTCGATTTTTGTATTACTCCAACCTTAATGAAACTTGTAAAACTGATAACAACCGTACCATTTTGTCTTTTTTTGGGTAGTTTTTGTCGCAGTACTGAAGTTTTTTTTTCTTCTGTGTTTTCCATTCAAGGGTTATTCATTTCAAACATATACATACATATAGCACTTGAACTCCGCTATCCGAAGATAAAAAGAAAATTGAATCTATGTCGTATATTTTTGAAATGCAAACCAAAAGAAAAAAGGGACGCGAGACTTTTGACGTCCACTGTAATTTTGTATTTGAAGGCGTATGAGCAACTTGAATGAGTGTTTCACGATCAGTTGTTAGAAAGATTTAAAGTTTATCCCTAGTAGTACCGTTCTTTTTTACGCACTATACTGGCAACCTATGTTTTCATAAAGTAATTGTTTTTACTTTTGGATCAGTCTCCTGTTGAAATATGCTATTTTCAGGGTGGATGTGAGGTGTGAGTGTGGCTGTGGGTGTGGGTGAGGTTTGGGTGTGGATGAATGAAAAGACTCATACCAACACCCACACCCACCCACCCACACTCACACACACCCCACACCCACACCCACACCCTTGAACGGTCGTTCCTTTCGAGGTCAAAACGTTATTAAAAGAATTTTTTTTCGCAGACTGATAGAAGACACTTCAAAGCATTTTTATTAATGAAAACCAAGAAACCAAAAAACTTTTGATTTTTACGTTCGGAAAGAGGGGTGTGGGTACCCTTAATATTTTATCTTTATAAAAAAAGTATGGTTTTAAACTTGGTGAAGATATTGTGTTTATGCCATGTGGTGGAATGAGTTACGTTTTTCTTAGAAAACACCCAGATGATCAAATTGTATCTTAGCATAAGTGAATAGTTTCGATAAAATTCAGAAAAAAAGCACTAAATGACAATGTTCTTTAGAGGATCAACAGTTATTGAATGGGATAATTTACCATCATTGAATCGAAGTATTGATGAGCCACTTCCAATGCCAATTGTTGAAATATATAAATTTGTTTAAAGATTATATGAAATTATTAAATAAATATATATTGTATAGGAAATGGATGTGATAGTGATGGATGAAAGTGAATTTGAATGTTGTTGAGTTAATGATAAATGTTTGATAATACCAAATCGAACTCGTGTTGAAATAACAAATATTTATTATGAGAAAATTGAAACAGATTCATGTATTTGTGGAGAAAATGTTCAAATGAAACGGAAATATGTTAAAGAAGGTTAGTTTTGTTGATTAATAAAATATTATTTGTTCATCAATTTGAATATGTAGAAAGTTTTTCCTGAATTTATTCTATGTGATGCTCAACAGGAATCATGTCGTATTGGAAGAATATTTGGCGCGCAAGTAATTAGTAGAATAGTTAATGAATTATATTAATTCTTCTTATAAAATAGTTTATCATACTGGAACATAAATCAGTAATTTCTTCTGGTTATATTATTATACTTTATATTCACATAGCAACAGTTGAAGTTCAATTAATTTAATTAATAGTATTAATTAATCGAAAGACAGGAGAAAATATTCAAGAACATTCTCTTTATCTATATATATAAAGAAGAATGTCTGTTTGTGTGTTTGTGTGTTTGTTTGTTCGCGATGCACTCAGTCCCTGTTATAGCTATAGTCACCAAACTTTCCATAATTCTTTTCTGAGTCCTGGGAAAGGTCGACGTCCACTTTTTT